TATAAGATTGCTTTTAACCTAATTATAAATTTTACATAGGTGTATTTCTCTTTCTGATTAGATATAATGTAGAAGATGTTTAGTTCCAGCAGCATAGTGCCACGGCACACAAGCGCGTGTCAATGGCTGTTTTGCAACAGCACTTCGCAGGATGCCTCGTCTCGTTAAGGGGCAGTCTGGCTGGTCAGCACAGTTGCCTTATTTAGCCCCCTGCTGCTATTTTTCCCGAGGTTATCTAAAGTAGCTTGTTTACAATGATCATCTTAGGACCATAGATCACCTGAAGAACAACATTTGTCAAGCTATCACTAAGGCTGCTATCACATATGATATTTGTGGCCGAAACATAATGTTAGAAGAAACAATTCTTGGAAGTGACCTTCCGCATAATCAAGTTACCATCTTGGTAAATAGGTTGGAAGCCGAACAAGAATCAGTTATCGCTCAGATCGGTGAAAGTGACTTTTCCTTTCATGTCGCGATTGCTTTTCCGTGTTGTATTTTGTGTTGCTCATACTCTTTTTGTTTTAAGCTTTATTGTTAGTTATGGAAAATAATATAAAGGTAATGGCTATCAAGTTAACTCACTTTTATCTTGACTCTGGTGATTATAAAAGCTAAGGAGAAAAGATGTAAAAAGAGAAGTCCTATTCTTTATAATGATCTGTTGTATATATTTGATTTTATTATTGTAAATAATTATTTTTGTATTCATATATTTATTAAATAACTTTTATGTACATGATATAATGCCATTTACAGATATTTGTTTTGTGATGAGTCAAAAATTTTTATTTTATCCCCAAATGTTAAATATTTCATAAAGGGTACTTGCTCAATTTTTTGTTTAAATTACAAAGTATAGTTACAAATGCAAAGGTTGTGTGTAAATGGGTGAATTGTAATAACTAGCCTAATGCACAACATGCACTTCAATTATTTTTCAACTGTGTATTTCATATCCATGATAATGTGCAAAGAACTGATGACTACAGTTGCTGACAATTACATAATCGTTAGATGAATTAGAACTAACTTCAAATAAACTTTTTGGCAATGTTTGTATTTCATTCATATATATATTCATATATATACACACACACACACACACATCTAATAAGTCATATATTTATCTACACATAGCAAGAGAGATACGATGATTTAGTTGTTAATGTATGTTTTTTAGTATTAATGTAATGAATAAGATTTTTGTAAATCAATATATATGCAAATTTTTTTCATCATTCATAATAATAAATTCATAAATTTCCAATGTTTCTATATGTAGCATTTGTAATAAAAATATAGTTCTTAATGTGTATCCTCATTATTAAATCATCTGTTTTAATAAATATACATAATCGCTGATTATGGAATTTCAGTTTAAAAGTAATTAGCAGAAAAGTAAATTCATGCATATACAAACATATTTTAAAAAATTATTCTCCTTAATAAAAAAATCTATTGTATAACAATAACATTCTTTTCACGTGATCAGCCTAAAATATGACAAATTTGGCGATGTATAATTTGTAAACAAATCATCAGAAATATCACATCATAAAATATTGTCTACTCTAAAATTTCCATGGTTATAAATTTAATAAATATACAGTGGTAGCCAAAATTGTGGACACTTGGAAATTTTTATGGTTTTTGAACTTTGTATGCTTATAGAAAACCATACGTTTCACAAAATGCAAACTTGTATATATCATTTTAAAGAGAATATATTACTGAATTCAATGCAAAACACAAAATTTAATTACTTGCAATACAAAAAAAGTTAAACGATAATAGTTATCGATATACATTAGATAGTGATGACTGCAGTGAGTTATCAGTTATTAGTAGGGGGTACCCTTTATTTTTTATTACAGCTTCACATTGAACGTTTCATTGAGCTGACAAGAGTTTTAAGCTCTTCTTTCGTTATTACATGATGCCAGGAAACAATTTTAGCCTCAATTAGTTCCCTTTTATTTGATGAGCGCCTTATTCAGACAAGAGTTTTCAAATGGTGCCACAAATTTTCGATAGGATTGAGGTCAGGACTGTTTCCTGGCCATGACAACAATTTAATGCTCTTTGTATGAAACCACTCTTTCGATATTTTGGCCATGTGGCAAGGAGCAGAATCCTGCTGAAAAAAAAACTAAGCATTGTTGGGAAAGTGATCTCTGATGGAAGGTAGAAGTTTTGGTTCTAGAATAGTGTCAATGTATTTTCTGGCATTCAGTATCCCATTGATGACGTGAAGGCGACCAATACCATCTGCTGACATGCATGACCAAATCATAACACTAACTGGATTCTTCACAGTTGCTTGAATGCAGTCAGGATGTAGCTCTTCTCCTATTTTACGTCTTACATATTTTCGCCCATCACTACCGAATAACAATATCTTAGTTTCATCATTCCATATAACTGGTGACCACTGATCATCTGTCCAATTATTGTGTTTCTTTGTCCACTGTAGTCTTTTTTTCGTTGCTGAAAATTAAGATAAGACTTTTTTCGTGGATTTCTACCTCTCATCTGTTAATCTTCTTCTGATTGTTCTTGAACTGACAGAAACACCAGCATCATTCCAATCACTTCTGATGGCTGCTGATGACATTTTTCTATCTTGGAGACATAGTCTTTTTATTCTTCTGTCATCAATAGATGTGGTGCACCTTTTTAGGCCTTTTCCTTTGTTTTTTATTGAATTTGTCTCCTGATATCGTAAACAAATCTTTCGTACTCCAGATGTAGTCACTGAACCGCCCACCTGTCTTGCAATTTCAGCATAGGAAAGACCACTTTCTCGTAGCACATAATAATCCATCTCTTTCTAGGTGTCCAATCCAATCTACTCTTTTTATTTGATGCCATTGCTTCTTGACTAAATATTAAAAATTTTACAAAAATCCCTACTTGTAATTGCAAGTGTATAAGAAACATGTCCTCCTTCTACAGAACAAAGCAAAATAATGAATTATTTCAAGTGTAAACATGATGTCAGCTTCTATTGGCAGTTACTAACATTTGATTGGTTCTCAGAACAAGAACAGTGATTGGCCAGGAAAGCTAGACATTACAAACCACTTCATAACTTTTTTATTTATATTAAAGAACATATAACTTTTTTTTTTGTATTGCAAATAATTGAATTTTGTGTTTTGTATTGAATTCAGTAATAAATTATCTTTAGAATGATATATACAAGTTTGCATTTTGCGAAACGTAACATTTTCTATAAGCATACAAAGTTCAAAAACATAAAAATTTCCAAAAGTGTCCACAATTTTGGCCACCACTGTATAAACATTTAAAAATGACTTAGATAGTTATACTACGACAACACAGCAATATATATGCGGCTTATTCCGTGTTTCTTCAATTAAATCAGGATCTATTTCCACCGTCCATGATTTCACAAGAGCCATTGGCATATTAAGAATTGCCCGTGATCCTTCAGAAGCAGAACTTTTGTCTGATTGGTTGAACGTGTGCGGAACATGTCTCCAGACGGAACATTTTCGGGAAGGTTTCAAAATCTTGCTAATAGACGGGAGATGTTGCACCTTGCTAGCTGAAACATTTCTTGGAAGCTTCCCGTATAAACTAGAATCTCGTTTCTCGAAAATGTCGTGCCTATCCGCACACATCGATAGTTTAATGTACCGGTTGATGTGCTGGAAAGAATTCCATGAATTATGAGTTCGATAAATGGAGTGTAATGAGCCCAATATTTTTAAAACTGTGTAAATGTTGTGTTTGATGTTGTCCAAAGAATCAAATATATGTTCATTACTCTTTTTTAATTGAATTTCTAAATCAGCAAGTTGCTCTGCCCCGACCCTGTGTAATCAACTTCACGACCAAAAATACACATATACCATGTAGATACTTGGTTTGCCACATAATCATTTTAGTGACGTGTTGCTTCATGAGTACTTTTTTTTATTTTTCTATAGGGAGGCAGTTCATCAGAAAATACCAGTAAGGCTAGGCATATTTTTTTTTTTTTTTTTTTTAAATTCTTTTAGAAATTTCATCTCATAAGCATTTTATATTGTTATAAATGATATTTAGAAAATTTGGAGTAATTTATTTGATTCTATGTTTTAGGCTTTGTGCTTACATGATATAAACATTCTTTGTCAGAAAAATTCCAGGACAAAGGCCATAAAAAAAAAAGAAATTTGCATTTACCAATTAAGAATCCCAGCTGCTATTGAAGTTAGTCCTTTGGCTCTCTATACACAACTGCCATTTCTGAAGGTCTTGTAACAAAGTAGGGAAATCTTCAACTGTGAACGGGAACAAGAAAAAATCACAATCTCTGACACAAATGTGGGATCACATCTGGCTCTATCTAATAGTTTAGCAGAAATTCTTAGTCTTTCCTCTTTTTTGTTCATATGTTAGTGAGTGAGGGATGATTTTTGCATTAAGTTTCCGTTCCCCTAAATCTTCGTGTAAAATCATAGGACACACATCACGATTCAAATTCAGTTTTTCTGATACCATATGCCACTGTAACACAATGATTATCTTCTTACAATAACTGCCTTACACCTTCCCCGTTTGTATCAGTATGTGCTATAGACGAGTGACTAGCTCTCGGGATCGTCTTGCACTGAATCTCTGCCTTCACAAAACTTTTTGTGCCACTCGAAAACTCAACTTCTTGGAAGCGCCTCGCCTGCATATGCTTGCTTAATCATGTTGCACTAGGTGTTTTCTCGAGCTTAACCCAGAACATAATGTTCACTCTTTGCTCGCAACATCAATCCAAACAGTGTGTTGTTAAGCACAGCCCTACCAGCTAGTAAGTTTGCATGGAAACATAGTGAAGTTCGTGCCAAGTAAGAATACGTAACAGGTAACACGAAAAAAAACTTTTGTTCCTTTTTAGTACTGCAAACTCAGAAATAAAAAATTGTCTTGGAACTTTTCTGACTAAGGATGCATTTTAAATTATTAGTATTGACATATTACTTTTTATACAGACTACTTATGAAAAGGCTCAAACATATTATCAAGCCCAAGTTCCATATTCTACCACTGAAACTCCTCATTATCAGAGTGGTAAGTTTTCTTATTTAATTTTTGATCAAAGAAAAAAATATTGTTAAGTTCATTTCTTAATGCATTAGTTTTGTGTGTCTCTCGCATCTGTGGTTTTATCTTTCCTGGTTCACCTGAATTACCCTTGGGTTGAAGAAACCATTCCGTAGTGATTCACCCAAATTTACTTGGTATCTTCAAATGCTTGGTTAACATTATACAGAGCAAAGTGAGATTGTAAGTAAAATAACAAAGGTTGGGTTATGTCTTGGAGACTACTTCAAAAACAGTTATTAGTAATTAGTCGTTTTCATTTATATGTATTACGTACATATATGTTTGCTTAATTCAAACTCCGGAGTAATGAATTCTTCTCGGAGATGCATTTAGAATTTTAAGTGAATATTTTATATGCCCAGAACAAAAAATGATTCCCTTTCTTAATTGCTAAAGTGAATAAAGGCAATAATAAGCTGAATATTACTAATGTAGCATTGTGGATTACTTATAGAAATAAATTATAAAAATTATGCACGCATAAGAAACTGGTACGAAGACCAAGCATCAAATTATTTTTGTGTGTAAGAGCTTTGCTTTAGGTATTCATGTGTAAATCTTTTAAAGGGAAAAGATTATGAATGTCTAATTTTTATTTAAGTACTTCTAATATAATTGTTTTAATATGCTTGCTAGTGGCACAAGAAAATTTTTCTAATTTTGGTCTTCATTTGTCTTATTCTAATTTTTAATATGTGTAGGAAACTTTATTTTTAAATGGCATGATCTAAATACTTGTTTACAAGCAATAGAAAATTTGGTTATGTTAGCTTAGATTATTTGAATATGAATGTAGAGATTTTGGAGGGTATGTAATTGTAAGCTGGAGAGAAACCTGCAGACCCTGTTAAACAAATAGCATTATTGCTGTATCTTAACCCTCTCAGCATAATGGATGTAAAGTTCCATATGGAAGAGTGGCTTTCTTATTCATTACACAAGAAAATTTTTTGCCAGCTTTTAATGCATCAGATTTTGGGTTAGAAGAAAAGAAATTAAGGTACAAAGTAAACTTTTGTATTATCGAGAAAATACTATTTATTCATGACATTTTGAGGAACCTGTGACACTCTGAGGGTTAAACAACGTGGAGGGAAGTATGTTAAAAGAACTTTTTTCATTTAGTCTTATAATTTGTGCTGCAAACGAAATTTTCACTATTTGTGGATACTTAAAGTAACAACAAATAATTAAATTCAAATGTTGATAATGTAGTCAGACTACACGTTAAATAAGCTGTCTCAGATGTGCTATTATTGCACGATTAAAAACATCACTTAGCGAGAATGCTAAAGCTGAAATATAACTTTTAAGCAGAATTATATAACAATAAGCTAACAATAAGATGTGATTGCCAGAAGCTCTAATAAGAAGATTCAAAAAACCTCAGCTTTAAATACATTGCAAAGATAAGGTAATTTGCATTCTGGTGCATATAGAAAGGATAAGTTCTAGTAAAGACTTAAATCACAATAACTGGTTGATTAACTTACACTCTACATTGCATTTTCCCAGGATGGCTAGCTACGCAAGGAAAGGCATGTCTTAATTTTGTAGAGAAACTGGCTCATATTCACATCACATGTGGGAGAAAACTATGAAAAACTTGCACGCATCAAACCCAGTGTGCGGATTTCAAGTTGAAGTCGAACTACTAGTGTTCAGTGGTTATCCGCTAGGCTATTTGTGTGGCTTAACACTAGAACGCCCGATGGAGCCCTTTCAATCACAACTTTCCGTATTTTTCATTTCAGTTGTTTTCCTTCTGTAACTTTTAATGAATTAATGATGTCTATGACTTGAGAAAACCAGAAATATTCAACTTAATTTGTAAAATATTTTTGGCCTGTATCCCTAGAATGCGGATTGGAATCGCATCACTCCTGGGAGGGATTTGAGCTGCAGTTTTATTATTTACTTCCTGTTTAGGAGTCAAGACCTCAGACTGTATGTGCTCTTCAAAACCATCAGTTATTGTGACATTTCCCTTTCCACTCCTAAATTGAAAAAAAAAAAAAAAAAAAAAAAAAAAAAAGGTCAGTTCTTTGCACCTTCTTGCCAAAATGGTTTACCTCTTGGGATGACTTCTTTTGCACCCCATAAATGTACATGCTACTCAGTTTTGATGAATATATTGTAAAAAATGGCTCATTAAAAACATAGAAAAAATAGCAAATGAGCTTTCAGGTAATGAAAATATGAGACAGTGAAGACTGATTTCCAATGCAAAAATGGATTGTTCGTCAGATTCTGATGGAGGCGAGAACAAGGAAATTTCAGAAAGTATATCAGTTATTACAGAAGCTTTCATTGCTCGTGATGGTGCAAAATGGGAAGTGTATAAAAAATTTTAAAATTCTCTAAGGTTTCTAAAACAAAATATTATACAGCAAGATAGTGGACCAACATGCCAAAAGAAACTTCGCTGATAATAATGTGTTAAGTGCTTGGTTTTTATTTATAGATAGCACAGTTTTGAACAATATAAAGAAATGTACCCAAGTAAAGGAAAGCACGTCCTTGAGAATGATACTTTGTCTCTTTGTATAGTCGAGTTACTTACCTTTATTGGAATACTACATGCTCATGTTGAATGGTGCGAAAGGAATAGAGCATCATTTCTTGTGTTGTAAAACTGGGGCCTGAATTTTTGCACAGAAGTTTGTGAAATTCTGTGATTTTGTACGATTTGACAAGTCTGCATTGTGTTTTGCATGTTTGCAAACAGATAAATTTGGAATTGCTTCATTGATAATCATATTTCTTTGCTTCAAACTGCGAGGGGATTATAACTATAGATGAACAACTGTTTCCAAGCAGAACCCAATGTCCTTACTCAGTTTATACTATCAAAGCACGATAAATATGGAAAAAAATTTAGGCTTTCTATTGCTGTAAAGACAAGATACTTCTTCAATGATTTCCTTTACCTAGGAAAAAATGCAGAACGACCATACAATCAAAGATTATCTGAATACCTTGTTATGAGACTGGTAAAACTTGTTCTAAACTAAGGTCTAAATCTCACAGTTGACAATTTTTTTTAATGTCACTTCATTTAGGAGAAGAATATCAAAAGAAAGGAACAAGCTGGGTAGAACTGTCAGCAAGGCAAAAAGAAAAATCCTGAAATCCATGAAAGATTTCTGAGGGGCACTGTATGAAATTCTAAAAATTCTGAAACCTTACGAAGCAAGTGCTACTTTTACGGCATATCAAGGAAAGAGAATTAGCCGTCAAGACATTTAGCTATGGGACACTTAACTGTCAACATATTTAATCCACAGGACACAAAGCCGACAGTAACGTTTAGCTGACATGTACCCAATAATTATTCAAACTTACTATCAATTACAAAATTTCTCGACTTCTCCAATAAGTTCAATATTTAAGTTATTTTCTCACTATCAGTAAAATTCATTTTTCGATTCTTAAAGATCTTATATATAATTTTAATTATTGTATTAATTTAGGATTGTTTGATATGTATCCATGGACCTTATAAGAAATATACCAACTCAAATGGGTTTTCTCCCTTGCCTTGGCGTATTGCCAGCTGTCACCTTGCCCACATCCGGAGGAGTATGCAGCACGTAATAATTGTCAAGAAGAAGCTGGTTATAGCACCTCATTTCACAAATTAGAATTTTTAGCTATTTTTATTTTTGAAACCGAGATTGATTTTAAAAATTTAGCATGTTTGTTAAGCATAATTAATGTTCTATATATTTATAAAGTTGTTGCATGATTTCAGGTCTGGATATTTTTTTAGGTTTTCCTATGCTGTAAGGAAATTTGTATCTCCTTTTAAAAAATAATATTTTAAATCTGAACTAAAAGAAAAATTCAAACAAACAATTTTCTCTTACAATTTTTATGCTTTTTATTGGTATAAATAAGCAAAAAATACTAAAATCGAAAAAATGGATTTTTGAAAGTTTTTGCTTAAAATTCTTATTTGTACTGCTTTTTCAAAATTATATCTGAGTATTATAGCATAATATTCTACAAAGAAGTTTTATTTCAATAATATTTCATAATACATCGTAGTGATTAACACTTTAATAATTTTTATGCATTTATTCTAATATTAAAAATTGTATTTAACTGTAATAATTAATTGTGCTAGCATTTTATAGTGATTATTTTTTTAAATTCATGTCTAATTCTGCATAAGTTTTCTGATTTATTGTTAATTCATTTTATTAGCCCAAAGGGGCGGCAGCTCAGAAAAGCTATTAGTTTCGAAACGGCATTTTAGTGTGTTTCACTATAAATGTCCATTTCACTTTGCGAACTGTTGCCACCAAATATTATCGCCCTGTATGATATTTAAAAAAATTAAATAATGAAGAATCTGCGTGAATGCATGTATGTTTTTTATCTCGCACTGTGGGAAAAAAAACAACAGAATTTAGAACCATAAAATTTTGAATAACGTAATCCTCCACCCGAACATGGGCACCTACACGGCCTAATTTTGAATTTGTTTTAATCCACTTCATATTTTGTAACTTTAACGAAGTTTTGATTAACAAACTCAACGAGTTCAAAGCAAGCAATGGCAACCCTGTACAGAAAATAACATTTTTATCTCCAACGCGGAAATTCTAAAGATATGTCATTTTCAAATCATATAATCAAATAAATGATCGTCTTGTTATGTTATAATAATTTTAAAAACTACTGACTCATAAAATCAAAGAAAATTATCAGATCTTGTTTAATATTTGTTTCAAAGCATCATATGCTATCAGTATTATTTAATTTTACTTTATTTGTACACAAAAATAAGTTCATAAGTTTTGCGTTTAGAATTTTTACCCTTTTACTAAAGTAAGGAAATTTACACAAGAATTATGTTTGAAAAAAATGTGCAAAATGCAGTAAAAAGTGCTTGTATGAGATATATTAAATCTTGTTTGCAAAAAATGTGACTTTCATAATCTTATCACTTATACAAC